AACACAGGGGGGACAGGAGAGCCCCCGGGTGGGGACACGGGGAGGGCCGAGGCCACCCCCCGCGTCCCCCCGCAGCTGGAGTGGAATTGGGGGGAAATGAGGGCAAATCGGTGCTCGGGGGCTGCAATAATTTAGTGGTGACGTCATCCCCGGTGGGGGGAGGGGACATGGGGTGACACGGAGGAGGGGACGGTGGCCCTGCGGTGACAGGGACACCGGGTGACAGGGACGGGGATGCTCGGGTGACCATGAAGAAGGACAAGGGCTCTTGGTTGGCCATGATGAACAGGGACGCTCCGGTGACGATGACGATGGACATCGTTGGCCATGACGAAGGACAGGGACGCTCCGGTGACGGTCAATGGCTCTTGGTTGGTCACGATGAAGGACAGGGACCCTCCGGTGACGATGACGGTCAACGGCTCTTGGTCATGATGGACAGGGATGCTCCGGTGACGATGCGGAAGGACATCGTTGGCCATGATGAAGGACAGGGACGCTCCGGGGACGATGACAGTCAAGGGCTCTTGGTTGGCCATGACGAAGGACAGGGATGCTCCGGTGACGATGCGGAAGGACATCGTTGGCCATGATGAAGGACAGGGACGCTCCGGGGACGATGACAGTCAAGGGCTCTTGGTTGGCCATGACGAAGGACAGGGATGCTCCGGTGACGATGCGGAAGGACATCGTTGGCCATGATGAAGGACAGGGACGCTCCGGGGACGATGACAGTCAAGGGCTCTTGGTTGGCCATGACGAAGGACAGGGACGCTCCGGTGACAATGACGGTCAACGGCTCTTGGTCATGATGGACAGGGATGCTCCGGTGACGATGACAGTCAATGGCTCTTGGTTGGCCATGACGAAGGACAGGGACGCTCCGGTGACGATGACAGACCACAGCTCCTTGTTGGCCATCACGAAGGACAGGGCGAAGGACAGGGACACCCTCTGGTGACGATGACGGTCAACGGCTCTTGGTTGGCCACGATGAAGGACAGGGACACCCTCCGGTGACGATGACGAAGGACATCATTGGCCATGATAAAGAACAGGGACCCACTGGTGACAATGACAGTCAACGGCTCCTGGTTGGCCATGATGAGGGACCCAACGGTGACGAAGGACACTGTTGGCCATGATGAAGGACAGGGACCCTCCAGTGACAATGACAAAGGTCATGGGGGTCTTCATTGGCCACGACGAAGGACAGGGACGCTCCGGTGACGATGACGAAGGTCAAGGGCTCTTCAATGGCCACGATGAAGGACGAGGACTCTTGGTGACGATGACGCCGGTGAAGACCGAGGGCTCCGAGGACGACGATGCTGAAGGCCACGAGCTTTTTGGTGAGCGAGGTCAAAGCTTTGCGGTGACAACGGTGAAGGCCGAGGGCTCTCTGGTGACGATGACGAAGGTTGAGGGCTCTCCAACAATGATGACAATGGCCAAGGGCTCTCCGAGGACGATGACAATGGCCAAGGGCTCCAAGGATGATGGTGAAGGCCGAGGGCTCTTCCAAGGACAATGATGAAGGCCAAAGTCTCTCTGGTGACGATGACGATGGCCACGGGCTCCAACGATGATGACGAAGGTAGAGGGCTCTCCAAGGACATGGTGAAGGCCGAGGGCTCTCTGGCGACGATGACGATGGCCAAGGGCTCTCCAAGGATGATGACGAAGGCCGAGGGCCCTCCGAGGATGATGGCCAAGCACTTCCTGGTGACAAGCGAGGGCCCCCCGAGGACACTGCCGAAGGGCCGAGGACAACGACGACGATCAAGGGCTCCCCGAGGACACGGATGAAGGCTGAGGAGGACGATGAAGGACAAGGACTCTCCGAGGACGCTGAAGGCCGAGGGCTCTCCGAGGACAAGGACTCTCCGGTGACGGCGAAGGACGCGGGCTCTCCGAGGACTGCCGGTGGCCGAGGAGGCGGCCCTCAGGCCTCTTCTTCGGCCTCTTCCCCGAAATCCTCCTCCTCCTCGGCGGTGGCGTCCTGGTACTGCTGGTATTCCGAGACGAGGTCGTTCATGTTGCTCTCGGCTTCGGTGAATTCCATCTCATCCATGCCCTCGCCGGTGTACCAGTGGAGGAAGGCCTTGCGGCGAAACATGGCGGTGAACTGCTCCGAGATGCGCTTGAAGAGCTCCTGGATGGCGGTGCTGTTGCCGATGAAGGTGACGGCCATCTTGAGGCCGCGGGGCGGGATGTCGCAGACGGCCGTCTTGACGTTGTTGGGGATCCACTCGACGAAGTAAGAGCTGTTCTTGTTCTGGACGTTGAGCATCTGCTCATCCACTTCCTTCATGGACATGCGACCCCGGAAAACGGCGGCGACCGTCAGGTAACGCCCGTGCCGGGGATCGCAGGCGGCCATCATGTTTTTGGCGTCGAAGACCTGCTGGGTGAGCTCGGGGACGGTGAGGGCGCGGTACTGTTGGCTCCCGCGAGACGTCAAGGGTGCGAAACCGGGCATGAAGAAATGGAGACGCGGGAAGGGCACCATGTTGACGGCCAATTTCCGGAGATCGGCGTTGAGTTGTCCGGGAAAACGGAGGCAAGTGGTGACGCCGCTCATGGTGGCCGAGACGAGGTGGTTGAGGTCGCCGTAGGTGGGCGTGGTCAGCTTCAAGGTACGGAAGCAGATGTCGTAAAGCGCCTCGTTGTCGATGCAGTAGGTCTCGTCCGTGTTCTCCACCAACTGGTGGACGGACAGAGTGGCGTTGTACGGTTCCACCACCGTATCCGACACCTTGGGAGACGGGACGACGCTGAAGGTGTTCATGATGCGATCGGGATATTCCTCCCGGATTTTGGAGATGAGGAGGGTGCCCATGCCGGAGCCGGTGCCGCCGCCCAGCGAGTGGGTCAGCTGGAAGCCCTGGAGGCAGTCGCAGCTTTCCGCTTCCTTCCTCACCACGTCCAGGACCGAATCCACCAGTTCGGCCCCCTCCGTGTAGTGACCTTTGGCCCAGTTGTTGCCGGCGCCGCTCTGGCCTGGGGAGGGGGTGGGGACATCACTGAGGGGGCTCCTTAGTTGGGGGGGGGAAACTGAGGTCTTTGGGGACTTTGATTCCTCTGGTTTGGGACCTTTGAGCCAACCTTGGGGTCTCCCATCCCGCTTTTGGGGACCTCCATCACCCGCCCTGAGGACACCTTAGGGACCTTCACTGCTCCTCCCGCCCATCTCTGGCTCATCCTTGAGGAGCTCCAGCCCCCCCTGGGGACCCCCGAGCTCTCTGGGGATCTCCATCCCACGCCCCCCAAGAACCTTGAGCACCTCCACCACCCCACGCTTCTTGGGGTACCTGTCCCTCGCCCTTGGGGACCTCCATGACTCTTCTCAATCTCCATGGCACCCTTGGGCACCTTGAGCACTTCAGGGACCCCTGGGGACCCCCAGTCCTTGGGGACCACCATGCCCCTTCCTTGGGGACCCCCAGTCCTTAGGGACCCCCCTCCCTCTTCCTTTGGGACCTCCAGTCCTTGGGGACCACCATCCCCCTTCCTTGGAGACCCCCAGTCCTTAGGGACCACCATCCGTCTTCCTTTGGGACCTCCAGTCCTTGGGGATCCCCAGTCCTCTTCCTTGGGAACCACCATCCCTCTCTGGGGACCCCCATCCCCCTTCCCTGGGAACCACCATGCCTCTTTGGGGACCCCCAGTCCTGGGGGACCACCATGCCTCTTTGGGGACCCCCAGTTCTTGGGGACCCCCATCCCCCTTCCTTGGAGACTCCCATCCATCTTCCATGGTGACCCCCCACTCA